TTATTGTGGGGAAGGACTACTAGATATATTTGATGAGGAGGAGGGAAGAGAGAGAGAGAAAAAAAAAGGTGGGATAAAAATAAAACAACAACAACAATAATAAAGAGTCTTGTAAATTTGTTAGGCATATGTCCCAAAATAGCAAAGAAAACATTAGATGATTGAATTATATTTTAGTGACACCCTGTGGCTACATGCTAATTTGCTATCTGCTGAATTGAATTTCTTGTCATTGTGTAGAACAGATGAAACTTCATAAAAAGACATAATTCAGAAACAAAAGAGAACTTGCTGATTTACCATCTAAGAAGCATAACTAATAAATGGATAATCAAACCTAATGAAGTGGATTAGAGAAGGAAGTTTGTCCAAATTTGCTTATTTTTCTTACTGTTATATTGAAGGTGGATATTGATCACTAATTTAGCACTTATTCTCTAAGCCTAACAACTAATTTTAAAAACTTATCCAGAAGGATATAAATCAGGGGTGCCAAACTGTCATGTACAGGCCACGCCCACTCCAGCTCCAAGAATGTGGAAAATGTCGTGAAACATCACATGACTGCAACGTGACGCAGTAAGTTTGACACCCATAATATACATAATTAACACATGAATTTTAGCACACTAAGATTTGTCTAGCATCTAAATAAACTTGGCTTTTCTATGCAAGCAACTTATCTTATTTTACAAAGAAAAAAAATAGTATTACCATTGATACTATTATTACAGCTATTTTACATTACAGATTTGAAGCAGTTTTTTCTGTCCCTCCCAATTCTGAAAAGAAAATTATTGTTCTATTTTGCTATGAGATTGATTTACTGTTTTATGAATGGCAGGTAAAATTCTGCTGGTTTTATTTTTTGATGTAAGATAAACAGAAAAGACAAGTGTTTTTTTTTTTTAAAAAAAAAACTATAGCATTTAATCATAATAAGATGATTTGGAAGGAAGTACATGAAGCCCAAATTATGTCAGGGTTCATACATCCCATTAAGCTATAACCACTGTTTATCAACTACTGCTAACTTCATGCATCTCAATTTAAGAAACAATCATAAGCTCCCAAGGATTTTGAATTTTGAATACAATCATCAAAGTTATCCTGTAAAATGGAGATTTTTTTTAAAAAAAATGCTATTTTAAATACAAAAATGGTCCAATTAATTATCTAATTCTAACATTCCATTTAAAACAACACCAATGAGAGAGAATGTTTTAGTGAATCTTTAAGAATAAATCCTATATTTGCCCAGTTTCTTCTGCATAAGTAATTTCTATAAACGAAACAAAGTTGCCTATAATAGACTCTTATGATTCATGCTGAAAGAAATCCATAAACTAAAAACCCAAGAAAAATAGTTCCTGCTGTTTCTCCACAAATGAGTGCTAAGCACTGTGCAAGAAAATTTTTCCTGCAATAAGTTAGCTTTGAAACTGCACAGATTTATGGGGACTATTATAATCGTTTGAATTATTGTTTCTGTCTAATCTCCCTTTTATATGCATGTAGAGGGGAGAGTAAGGTTAAATTCAATCTTAAATTCTGATTCTTCCATATAAGTAAGATATCATTTATTAAATCGCATATTTTCATTTACACAAGCAGAATATCTGGAGATTCAATTTCACTTTTAACAAAGAATACTAGAGCACAGTATAGTAGTCCCTTCTATAAGTTTGTCCTGTGCATTGGCACTTGGAGAAAAAAAAACCCAATACAATGACTATTAGCAAATGACAAGCACACATAACACATGTATAAGCAAATAGCTTGGTCTATTGCAAGCCTTTGATAAAATACATTCCGCATACAGTATAACAACAGAATTAATAGCTTAGAATACTAATTTGGATTTCTCAAAATGCTACTAAAAATCAATTTTGCACTGTTAAAAATACATACATACAAATAATGCAGCAAATAATATATGGGGCAGATTAAATCAGTTGTGTTTATTGTAAATATTCTAGAGTTCATTTAAAAAGTAATAAATTATCGATTTGTTTACTACATGAAACAATATCTTGTAGAATTTCTTTAGCATCACAATATTTTATTATTGGAAACTCAGTCAAGAAGTTAGGAAAAGAAAAAGTACTAAGAACACAAAGCATATGCCTAAAGCAAAGAAACTTAAATGAAATCAAGGACAAGCAATAGTTTTTTGTTGTTTCCAAGACGCTATGAAATTGAACTAATTATGATACCCTCAGGAAAACTGTACTAAGATTACTTTTATCTAAATGTTTCTTAGTATATATGACTCATATTTACATACAAATTAAATGTCATATTTAGTGAGAATTTAATGCAACCTTGTATTAACTTCTCACCTAGCATCATGGACTTCAGGCAAACAAGTGCATTCCATCCAGCAGACTGAGCAGACTGAGGTGCAACAAATAAATCTATTTTTGTCTGTTTCAATGAATATTTTTACTGACCTACATCATTAGCCTCTTAATAGTGTTATAATTTTCTGGCTAAATAATATGCATGAGTTTATAGTCCATTTGATTACAAATAGTTATTTGATGTTGTTTAACAATCAGTATTTCCAATGCTACAAAAATAATACTTTCCCGATATCAAATATAGTTCTGCCGTATTTAAAAGAGAGAACAGATATAAAGGAACATAAATATCTTTTTTTCTATTCTATCTGTCCATTCTCCTTTATCCTTCTAAACTATGCTAACATCCTCTTGCATAGTTTCTATCATAGATATTTGTTTTATTATAATGTGTCAATAAGAAAAAAACAATACAGTGACATGGACAGTGGCCATGTTAGTGTGCTTATGCACACCCCCTCTACAGATCTCTTAAGTATAAAGTGAGATCCACGGAAGTCAATTTGTGACTAAAACTGTGAAAATTTGCAGCTGAGATAACTGAATCAGGTTGAACGTTCCAGACTTTGACAACTCTATTACAAAAATCATATTTTTTTACATTCAAGTTTATAACAATTTACATTGAGTTTAAAGCGGTTGTTCACAGGTGTATTATTGCAATTAGAACAGAAAAAATGATTTACAGGTAAAACATTACTACGTACAATTTTGTATGCAGTACCTAAGTCTGACTGCAAGCGACGCAGTTCCAAGTTATCTAAACCAAGAATTTCAAGCCTAGTAGCATAGGGAATTCCATTATGTACAGAAGAGTGCAAAACTTTTCTCATAAAATACTTCTGAACTTGCTCGATTGTACTAATGTCAGATACATGGTAGGGATTCCAAACAGTTGAACAGTACTCTAAGATTGGTCTAGCATAAGTTTTATAAGCTCTAGTTAGCAATACAATGTCTCCAGAAAAGAAGCTTCGTAGAATTAAGTTTACAACTCTTAGTGATTTTTTAGCAACGCTATTACAGTGAACTTTGGAGCATAGATTGTCAGAGATAAGTACACCTAGGTCCTTGACAAAGTGAGGGTCATCAGCTAGTTCAACGCCACCTAGCTCATACTTGACATTCTGATTACATTTACCAATATGTAAAACAGAGTATTTATTAATTGAAATGTGAAGTTGCCAAATGGATGACTATTCATGTCAAGATCAACAACAGAATTATTGATAGTATTAAATAATTTTACATCATTGGCAAAAAGGACACAATTGCTTTTAAGTTGATCACATAAATCGTTGATATAGAGCAGCGATGGTGAACCTTTTTTGGCTCGCGTGCCATAAGTGGGGGGAGTGCAGGGGGGGGTCATGTGTGGGCGTGCCACACCTATAATGCAACATGCAACACCCCCCCCCAGTGCTCATCCATGCATGAGATGCGCGACCCCGCATTTTTTGCATGCTTTTTTCGCCCTCCCCAGGCTCCAGAGGCTTTATAGGAGCCTAGGGAGGGCGAAAACAGACTCCCCCTCCCTCAGAAGGCCATCCGGAGGCTTCAGAAGCTTCTCTGAAGCCTTCGGAGCACAAAAAACTGGCCCTATGGGCAAGCCAGAAGTTTGGGAACGGACTTCCAGTTTGCTCATAGGATTGGTTTAAGTCCTCCAGAGGCTTCAGGGACCTTCAGGAGGCTTCCCTCAAGCCTCCGAAGGGCTTAAACCAGCCCTACAAGTAAACCGGAAGTTCCAGTAACCAACTGATACTCTTTCTACAATTTGTAATGGAAGATGGTTTATTTTATTTTTGTTTGTCCTTGTTCAAAAACAAATAAAAATTGTTTAAAAAAAAGAAATAGAGTTCAACTCCTTTTCCCACCACAGCTCCCACATTTATACCTGACACATAAATCAACTTCATGCCGTTGCTATGAGTATTCACAAACCCCATTCATAACATTTCAGGATTTTTCTCTATTACTTTCTCCTTCTGTTCCTTAAGTAGCAAAATGTAAAACAATACGTAGTGAAACAGCATTTTTGTGGATTAAGTGGAATGTGTTGAAAAGGGGTGGGTGTGTATATTATTATTTAATCACGGAATGTTATTACTTGCAGTGGTATGTTATCTACAGTGATTGTACAATATCAGTACACAATTGGTGGTATTTCCATAATGATGTCATTACACAATTTTGTTAATCCATATGGAACTGAAATCTATCTATCTATCTATCTATCTATCTATCTATCTATCTATCTATCTATCTATCTATCTATCTATCTATCATCTATCTCTTCAAAGATTGAAAATTAAGGAGAAAAATTTCTACTTTTAAACTACTGTACTATATACTGGTGATTTTTTTATTTTATTATAATATTTAATTAAGATACTAAATGCAACAATTAGTTACCATATTTTATAATATGTTTCTAAAAGCTACTTTTTTAACATTTCAGGATATCAGCAACTTGAACCACTTAGTTAAAGTTATTTCAATATATCTACTCAAATGTTAGTTTAGTTTGTTCTAATACGTACTGAACTAACCATTGTATCTAATTCTAATCAATTAAAGTAAAACAATTTATTTCAATATTAAAATACTATGGAATCAAAACAGTAACATCACACTAACCTGCAGACACGGGCAGGAAAATAGAGTTTCTGCCAAGATCGACATAGATATTTTGAATGATCGATTACACGAATCCAGTCTAGTTCATCCATGGATACCTCAATATAATAGGAGTACGACCTTTAAAGATCAAATAAATTAAAAACATTGCCATTATCTATCTAAAAATTTCACACATAGATTTATACACTCTGGGTATCACAATGTTACATTTAATGTTAGAACAAAAAAAAATCTATAGTTAGGCTAAATGAACTAATCTTGCTTCCTTCTGTCTCTGTAATTCCTTACAAAGATCCAAAATATATTCAACAGTTCTGAGAATGCAGGGGATGCAATTTGATGAACCCATCAAGTTTATGAGGCAAGATAGGTAAGTATACAACAAATCAACCTCTTCATATAAATGCAAATATTTAGCACACTTAAGATATAAAAGAAAGTATTCTCTGTGTTTTTAGTTTTTAAAATTTAAACTTAACCAGAGAAGTTGTACGTAAAAAAATTAATAGGTATTTGAAAATATTTTGTAACTCATAGACATCATTAAACAGCTTGAATATGTGAATGTATTATAACTCATTTTTCCATAATTTTTATTTGGTATTTATCTTCTACTTCAATGTTTACTCTTACTAACATGATCAAATACTATATTTTTGGGAGTATAAGACGCACCAAGGTTTTGAAGAGGCAAATTTTTAAAAAAGTAAGTAGGTAGATAGAGGGACAGAGATGGAGAGAAAGAGGGAGAAATACAGTAGGTAAGTAGGGAAAGAGAGAGAGTAGTTAGGTAGGTAGATAAAGGGATAGAGAGAGAAAAAATACATTAGTTGGGTAGGGATAGAGAGAGAGAGAGAGAAATAGAGATGAGAGAGAGAAATACAGTAGATAGGTAGGGAGAGCGAGAGTGTAGGTAGGGAGGGAGGGAGAGGGAGAGAGAGGGAGGGAGGGAGAGAGAGAGACAGAGAGAAATACAATAAGTAGGTAGGGAGAGAGAGAGAGAGAGAGAAATAGAGATGAGAGAGAGAAATACAGTAGATAGGTAGGGAGAGCGAGAGTGTAGGTAGGGAGGGAGGGAGAGGGAGAGACAGAGAGAAATACAATAAGTAGGTAGGGAGAGAGAGAGAGAGAGAGAAATAGAGATGAGAGAGAGAAATACAGTAGATAGGTAGGGAGAGCGAGAGTGTAGGTAGGGAGGGAGGGAGAGGGAGAGAGAGGGAGGGAGGGAGAGAGAGAGACAGAGAGAAATACAATAAGTAGGTAGGGAGAGAGAGAGAGTAGGTAGGTAGATGTTTCCAGGTGTATTAAGCCATGTGCTGGAGAAGGAAATCGCTGACAATCTGCAGCACCTAAGTCTTTATTTCTGCTGACACAGCACTTGATAAATGTAATTCTCGTCAATCAGTTAA